ACAGAAAACAGCTGGGAGATGTTTACTAATGATAGCATTGACAAGGACTTACTGATTGATTTGATTAGGGAAAAGAAGTGAGGATATAAAGGTGGTTTTCAGAGCACTTGGCATGAATGACTTGCTAGAGTATGCAAATGGTGGGGAAAGTTTCTTTGTGTAGGGAAGAAAGTAAAATGAACCCTTGACTTACAAACTGAATTCATTCAAGAGGGCTGGTTGTAACTCAGGTTGGTCAATTGAAGGCTCAGGCTCCTCTACACAGCCTTCAAAGTCTTTCTCCTGTGTACAGGCAGATCTCAGTGTCCCTAGAGAGACATTGGCCCAAGATTTCTCAATTAACTCCACACAGGTAAGGATGTTGAAATGTTCCTTCCAGAGCCCTTTAAGGGTTAAATCTGCATCTGAGACCATGTGGAAGCATAAGTGGTTGGCATTCAGGTTGTAACTCAAGACTTTGGTTGTAAGTTAAAACTAAAATTCCAGTTGTAACCCAAACTGTTCATACGTCAGGCCAGTTGTAACTCAAGGGTCCATTGTATTCCATGTTGGACATGTTTATTTTGAGGTATCTATAAGATTCCCACGTGGAGAAATTGAGTAGGTGAGGTCTGTTACTCAAAAGACATGTGCATCTGGGATGGCCCATGGGTAGTACTGACAGCTATGTGGATGAACAGAGTTGCCCAAGAAAGAATATTGAGAGAAAGGAATGAATGAGGCCAAATGAATTCCAATATTTAAAACTTCAAGTAGTGGGGGAGGTGGCAAAGCATTTCGGAAGGGATACTTTCCAGAGGAAGGTGTGGTGTCAGAGAAGCCAAGGGGAGAGAGTTTCAAGAAAGAGGGAGGGGTTGACTGATTCTATGGATGTGGTGAAATGTCTAGTAAAATGATGGATGGCTGGGAAATGCCCATTGGGTTTGGTGATCTGGAGGCTTTAGATCAAAGGGAAAGCAGATTCAGTGCAGTGGTAGAGGTGGAAGTCAGTCTGGAGAGTGGAAGAAAGAATAAGCGAGGGAGAGATGAGAATGTGTACACAACTCTTAAAACATCTTGGCTTTGAAGGCAGAGGCCAGTAGCTGGGGGGAAATGGAAAGTCAAAAGGAAGGCTTTTTTGTTTGAATTCTTTTGACAAAAGAGATCCTAGAGGCTGTTTGAGTGCTAGTGAGAATGATTTAGTTAAGAGGAAGAAATTAATGATGTAGGAAGGACAGATGATAGATGGAAGCTCCTGTGATGGGATTAATGTTTGATAGGAAAAGGAAAGGCTTTTGATATCTTCCATATATTGAGGATGTACTAGTACTCTGCTAAGGAATTTGCACAATAACTGATAATATTATTCACAATAGCCCTTTGAAGTTGATACAGTTATCCCTATTTTACAGATGAGGAAACTGAGGTTAAGTAGCGATGGAGCCAACATCTTAATTCGGAACTGGTTGGTTGCAGAGCTCATACTCTTCTTTTAAAAATTAATTTTATTGGGCCGGAGATTTAGCTCAGTGGTTCTGCCGCCTGCCTCGCAAGTGCAAGGACCCAAGTTTGATCCCCGGTACCAAAAGAAAAATTAATTTTATTGGTCAGAGCTCATACTCTTAACTCTTACTTAAAGAATTTCTTCTGTGACAGCATATTTGTTAGCTTAATCACCACAAAAGCATCCTAGACAGAGTTGCATACCAAGAACAAGGTGTTGGCAAGTTTGGTTTCTCTGGAGTCTTCTCTTCTTGGCTTGTAAATGGCCACCTTCTTACCTGTCCTCACTTGGCCTTTCCTCTGTGCACTTGCATTCCCAATGCCTTCTTGAGTGTCCTAATCATTTCTTGTAAGAACACCAGACAGATTGAATTTAGGGAATGCCACCATAATGGTTTCAATTTAACTTAGTCACCTCTTTAAAGGCTTTATTTCTAAGTACAATCACACGATGAGGTCAGAGTTACAACATATGAATTTTAGGGAAACACAATTCAGTCTATAACAAATGGCTTTTTAAAGTACATATAAGGAAAAGGGTGGCCATAGGGGACACCTCTGAAGAGCATGTAAATGTAGTTGAAGAGAGAAGATGAAGATTACGAGAGAAACATACTGAGGGGCATCTGAAGTTGAAAGTCATTTGTATATATCCATCCTGGCAGATCTGAGTCTCTGCAGCAAGAGTCAGGTGTGTGTGTGTGTGTGTGTGTGTGTGTGTGTGTGTGTGTAAGTAAAGTTAAGAATTAGAACTCTGTGTTTTGATGAGGCTGTTGGGTGCTCATGTGGGCATACTGACCGGTCAGATGACCATCTCTTGTGCGCAAGGTTGAAATGCCAATGAGTTTCATCACATCTTTAGCACAATTGCTATTACTACTTGCCAGGGACCTTTCTGGCTGTTCTCAATAGTTGAAAACATGAAAGACGTATCTAGGACTGCTGAGATTTTGTTGCATTTGCACAAAATAGCAATGCACAAATTAGCTTGAATATTTTTTCCAACCTGTTCTGTAAATTGTCTTTCATGATAACTCTCCATTTTCTTCCTCTTTTTCTCCCCTCTTTCTCCCCCCATTCATTAATAATTTATTGAGTACCTACTAGGTATCTGACATGACAGGTAAATAATCCATAATCTATTATAGATATATGCATACATGTGTGTACTGTGTACATATATATGTATATAAAACAAAATGAAATACTATCATAAAAATATTAATTCATTTGTTCATTTACTCCTGTGAATATATCAAGTACTTACTAAGTGCCAGACAGAATGTAGGAGTTAGGACAGAGAGATGAGTAAGACACAGCTTCTGCCTTCAAAAAATTTACAACATGGTATAGAAAAATAAACAGGTAAGTAAACAGAGACAATACCATGTGAATTTGTAAGATCTCAAAGTTGTGTATTAGAAGATCTCAAAGAAGAAAATGATTCTGGTCTCTGCTTTCCCGTGCATGTTTGGAGATCCACTGAAAGGAGCTATTACTGCATTTTCTCAAAAGTAACTAAAAAAAGAACATCCATTCTTTTCACAAACATCTTTGAATGGTTGCAATCATTGTGTAGTGACAGTTTTATAGCTCTTGAATTTTAAGCAAATCATCCTATTGGGGAATTTCTGATTTTTCCTTTCATTTGAGCTTATTGTCCACATCCTGCACTATCATCAACTCTTTTTCTAGGTGATGGAATGATTAATGGTTATTTCTGAAACACTCTGTGGAAACCTTCTGGGGATTAAAACTTGAGAAAAGTCACAGTAACAAAACATTACTGTCATAGTGGGTGAGCAGAGAGCCTATGCTGGCTTAGCAAAAATCTCAGATATTTGAAAGTTGGAGTTTTAATGTGGGGGTTCCTTGTAATATGTTTTTAAAAACTATGATGAACAGCAGATGAAAAACACTGAGAAGAAAATGGATTTTTGTAGATTATATAATTGATATATTTTCAAGTATCACCTACTTATACCTTGTACAGGAGAAGTTATTTACAAATAAACACTTAGGAAGTTGAGACAATGGATATAAACTTGTTGCTTTCTCCAGAGCTGATTTGCTATACAAACTCAAGATATTATCATCTGCAGTCTGGACATTTTTATGAGAAAATGCTAACCATATAGAAAAGCAAATCTGACAAATGGTATATGTAGGTTTTAGAATCGATGAATAACCTAATAACTGCTAAAAATTGCTGTGATGTCATGCAGTGAACATTTACTATATGCATGTTGACTTCATTTCAGAATTGTACTCAAGAGTGTGTCATAGTGGAAAGCACTGGGTTGAGAATCAGGAAATCTAAGTGCTAGTCTAGCTCTGCCATTGCCTACCTGTGTGCCTCATTTCCCCCATCTTTAATGAAATGATTATGGGAAAGTCTTTAAGATTTTCCCAGTTCTGATATTTTATCTTTTGGTGATACTACATCCCACATCTATCAAGAGCATTTTGACTTCTTAAAAGTTGTTTAAGCCAGAATTTCAGTTAGAATGCATCTAAGAGCTTATTTCCTTGGGCTATTGGGAACAGCAAGGCCTTGCTTCTCCAGGACTTGATCTGTCTTCTGTTAACTGCTGACAGTGAGCCATACCGCCTAAAAGGCTCCCTTGGTAGCCTTAAAGATTGAAAGGACAAATGGACAGTATTGAGAACTCTGTGGAAGAGGAGACCAGAGAGACGTTGATCATCATGGCTCCTTGGGATTTGCAAAGAGGAATGACTAGAACTGGGCCATTCACTACAGCCAGGTCAAAGGTCAGGTCAGGAATGTGGACAATGCTGGTGACTCCAGGTAGGTCTAGGAGGGTAAATAAACCAATTTAGGCCCTCCTGAATCTTGAGATCTGGGCGGTTAAGCTCAGAAAGCTGTTAGGAAGTGTCCTAATTTATAGAATTCCTTGGAAGAAAAATGTGACTTTTTTTGTGTCTTTATTACTGCACAATCATTGCACTCTTAATACTCAGCAAATTAATCTATTCTTAGCATATTCATACAGTTGAAGCATTTCATAATCATTTATTGAGTTCAAAATCTGATTTCAATTAATGCTGTTATATAATGGACTCCTTATTTTTTAAAAGGATTTTTAGAGTAATTTTGAAAGACCTTCAAGTTTTCTCCTTTAATTTTAGTTAAGCAATATTAAATATAACTCTCTAGTGACAGAGATTTATATCTATTATTATTTTTCTAGTAATAAACTAATTTGGGGGCAAGAAAATGGTTGGAGTATTGCTTTTCTTAGTGATTAAAAAAGTAATGGATAATTTGTGGATAGGATATTAAACCAGCTAGCTAAAATAATTTTGTGTGCTGAATACATTATAAGAAATTAAGTCTTTGGTAATTGTTTCTATCACGAAATTCCAGTAAAAATTTACCTATGTTCTTTAAAATACTTATTAAATTTCCTGTATGTAATCATTAAAAAAATGTATGCCTAATACATACAAGATGATTCTTCTTCTTTTTCTTTTTTATTTTTCTTGCTTTTATTTAGTTGCTTCCAAGATCCGGTACTTGCAGGAATATCATAACCGGGTTCTTCACAACATTTATCCTGTACCATCAGGAACAGATATTGCAAACACCCTGAAATACTTTTCTCAGACCTTGTTAAGGTAAGCCTTAAAATATCCTCTACTTTGAGAGAATTATTAGGTAGTACTGTTGAATTTTTTGGGGTCTAAATTTTTATTGAAGTGCTAGTTTTGAAGGGCATTACATTTTCTAGTGCTCTGCCAGAAGAGTCTGGACTCCAGTCCTCGGGGTGTATATAGCAGATTAGACCTCAGGCCTATCTGGAAAAATGGGTTGCTTGGCTGTTGCCTGCTTTCCTCAGTTCAATGTCTTTTTAAGAGATCTATAAAAGATAAGGTTCTCTGATTGGCACTAGTACAGTGTAGGATTAAAAGAAGAGCCTACAAGCGCAAGGTCCTGAGTTTAATCCCCGGTACTGGAAAAAGAAGAGCCTATATTGCTTAAAATTAAGAAAAGGGCATACTTTTGATCTAAAAGAAAATCATAATTATGTGGCATTTTAGATTCATTACTAGTATGAACAGTTATTAATAATAACAGTTATTTTTAATCTGTGTAACACTTCATGTGTTCAACATGCTTTACAATTAACACTGAATTCTGTGGAGGACAGGGAAACAAAAACATAGGAGCTCTTTTTATACTGTCCACTTTTATTGCAAGGTAGAGACTTGAGGAGCCCTTTGGCTTTCTTCACACTTCTTATGAGGACATTTGAGCAAGGATGAACCTTTCCAGTAAAGGCTTAGTTATTTGGTGAAATAATGTTAAAGGAGTAAGAAGAACATTTCTCTTTTCATTAAATTCTGAGGCTTGATCTCTTCCATCACCATGATCTTCTCCCTTCAGATCTGATTTTGGAAGCACATAAATTGACTTGGTATTGTTCCTTTTAGCTATATAGCAGTCTACTGTGGACAGACAGGCTGAATATTTGGTAGAAAGCAATTTCATGATATCAAGTCAGTACTAGTCTGTGCAGTTCCCATCTCTTTGTTTTCCTTATCCTTTGGAAGATCTTTTTTCATCTTTAGAATCCTCACTGTGCCTAGTCTAGATTGAAGAGATTCTGATTAGCAGATACATAGATGTTAAACTTACATAGTAAGTTTATGACCCTGTTTTAGAAAATGTCCCTTTTCTTTCAAATTACAGTGGAATAATTAATTCATTTTTCACAGTAATAATCAGATGAATTTATGCATCTGATTCTGTTCTCTTGAATTCTCCTTTTATCTTTGAGGTCAGCGTTCTCATTGGGAAACACTATCTTTATTACAAATTTTGAGAGTTTTCAAGGTGAAAGACACTTTTCAGTAGGAAGCATTTATGAATTCCATTTGCAAAGAAACTGTGAGACCCTAATTGGCACTTCAGAGCTTGCTACTTAGGTCTTTGTAATTGTGCCAGAAAGTTAAGAAATTTAGGATACTGAAGTTATGTTTGCAAGACATGAAAATTACATTTTCTTATGGATCATTAGAATATAATCATAAGTGATAGCATTTTACTGGGGAAACTCATGTTAAAGTAGCTTGTTCAAGTGGCTTGTTGGAGAAGATTCTATACAATTGAACCAAGTCCATTTTCAAAGGGAGACAACATCAGTAACAACTGCTAATGATAATAATGGGAATAGTTATCATTATCATAGCAGTATTATATTACGATAATAGTTATATATGTCAAGGACTATTCTGAGTACTTTAAATTTGTCAGTGCATTAAAGTCCTCATAACTAGATAAGTGTACCGTTGTACTCATTTTATAGATAACTAATCTAAGGTACAGAGTGGTTAAATACATTGCTTAAAGTTATTTATCTAATATGTTTTAGAGCCAGAATTTGACTTTGGTGTTCTAATTCATAGCTCAATAATTATGCTATATGGCTTCTCCATAGTACTACTATTTAATTGTATTTAGCCATTTTCCTGTTTCTGAGAGAAAATATCCATCACCCACAACTTAAAGGATGAGAGGTTTATTTGGCTCATAGTTTCAGCCGATGGTTGGCTGGCTCCAAGCCAGAAATAGCTGGAAAGAACCTAGCAGAGGACAGCTGCTCATCCTATGGCAGCCAGGAAGGAGAGCAAGAGACAGACAGAGACTGACAGAGAGAGAGAGAGAGAGAGAGAGAGAGAGAGAGAGAGAGAGAAACAAATAAATATACTCTACCAGGTCAGGATGCCCCTGCTGACCTATCCCCTCTGACCAGGTCCCGACTCTGAACAGAAGACCTTTGGGGGACATTTTAGATCTAAACCATAATATTAGTCATATTACAGGGACTCTTCTTTTAGTTAAAACTTGATTTGGCCTCTGAGAATGGCAGAGACCATAGATTAGTTTTTACTTTTTTTTTTGGTACCGGGGATCAAACTCGGGACTTTGCGCTTGCAAGGCAGGCAGCAGCACCACTGAGCTAAATCCCTGGCCCTATTTTTTTATTGTTGCATGTTTGTGATACATAATAATTACATTCACCTCGGGGAATATATATATATATATATATCTATATATATCTCTCATCTTAAATCCTTTTTATTTCCCCTTCTTCTCCCTTCCCTCTCATCTCTTCCCATCCCCAGTTTTCTTCCCATTCCACAAAGCAGAGTAGTTCTGGCTCATTGTGAGATTAAAAGAGAGGAAGTGCTTAGCATAAAGATTTGCTGTCTTTTCAGTAGTTAAATGTACCCATACCTAAGGTGATACAGATAGCATTTCAATTCCCAGATGTATTAATTCTACCTTCCACTCAGCAGTTAGTTGTGGATAGTAGCATAGACCGTAGTGAATGGGGCCACACATGTGCACGTGCATGTACACACAAACATAAAGAGCGAGTAAGAGAAAACTGAGGAATGCAACAACGTATCACGGATTGGACTTCAGTATTTACAGGTTTGACTCCTGGGCTGAACCTGATACATTTTCTTTCTTCTTTTTGCCTATACCAGTTTTTTTTTTTAAAAAACTAAAAATGCAGAATGTCAAACTATTGTCCTATAATTGAGATGAATTATGATCACTTTCATAATAGTTATCACTGTTGATAACTACACTTGTAGCTTTATTCCTTCATTTTATTTATGCTGTTAGAAAGTTTAAGACAAATAAAATAGTCTAAGTATTTGATGTCCAAGATTATAGACAGTAAGATTTTCTGCTACAAATGAGATGGTTCCCTATGTATTTTGTGTATTTTTTACACAATCAGCAGCACTTCTTGCTTTCAGAACTCAGTTTTTAGAAAGAAATAAGAAGAATTAGAGATGAATTCTCACAAAGTAACCTTTCTATTTGGATATTCTCAATGAATTTAAAATTATTTTCTTGGTAAAATATACAACATTTTATAAAATTCCAGAAGCTTTATCTGAATCAGAATTACATTTTTAGATTGATAGTCTTCAGGTTTCATGCATGCATACAGCTCTCACTGATTTTAGTGGAGTTTTGTACCTATTTTGAAAAGGAGAGATTAGCCTAGATTTTTTTGTTTTTTGGTACCAGGGATTGAACTCGGGACCTTGTGCTTGCAAGGCAGGCACCAGAACCACTGAGCTAAATCACCGGCCCTAGCCTAGATGCTTAAATTTAATTAATTTAACCCACAGAAGGGGAAAGATTATTTTACCATAGTTGACTATGAAATCAGTTGAGTCCACGTATGTCGACTTAGCTCATAATTAGACTCATATTAGAATCCATGGAGGTTCCCTAAACTCTGGTCATGGAAGGAAGTCTTGGGTGGTCTTGCTAGACCTTGCGCCTATAGTGGTCCCTTTTCCAATAGCAGGAGATCATAAGTGTTTGCTGAATGAATTGACTTTCGTCTGGCTCAGAAATCCTTCTAAAGCATTTATAGAACCTAGTTGTGATCTAGGGTCCTGGGTAAAATTACTTCTGAGTTCTGAATTATACTCAATTTAATTTAACAGGGACTTAAGCTTGGGAATGAACATAGTTTACATACAACTTCAGTTTAGTTTTTTGCTTTCAATATCAGAGGCAACTATAAAGATCATGTGGTGTAACATCTCTCACTACTATGGAGGAGTCTTGTTCATTTTATATTAGAAGTATTCTGTGGTCGTATTTTAAACATCAAAGGCCTGTAAGAACCTTGTCTTTTATCAGGTAAAACATTTAAAGGTTCCCAGTCTTCTTCCTATTACAGACATTTTTCTGGAATTCCTAACCCCAGACTTCTCTCCTGGTGCTTTTCAAGCTGCTAACATCTTTAAAAAAAATCATTACATTTGGAGAAAGCTACTTGCTGCTCACTTTTTAGAAAATGCTTAATATGTTTTTAAAAAAGATTCTAATCTTGGCCCAACAATCTTAATTTAATGTAATTTCTAATTGCTTAGGAATAGTATTTTCAAGTTCTTGAAATAGCTTTAAAGCAAGAAAGTTTGCTTAAAGCATGGAGATAACAAATGTCAAAATTAATAACTGTTTAGAAATTTATATGATATGTTAACTTTTTGTGCTATAAACACCACAGGGCAACTTCTTCTCTTTCCCCACACCCACTGAGGCCTTCTTTTTCCTGCCATACTTTGATCATATAAGCCAGTGTTTTAAGAGAGCATCTCAGTGGGTTACAGGAAGGGTGAAAAGTTGGCTTCTGGGTCAAACTCTTCTGAGCAGGGCATTCTTAATATTCTTTTTGGTTGGGTTTATAAACCTCTGGAAAGGAATCTCAGATGGGGAAATAGTTCATCATTCCCAAGTTACACAGTTTGGGGAAATAAGTTTTTTTTCTCTGAATAAATTTCACAAAACATCATAAAATCACAATGCATTGAACATTTTTTCATGAGCCCTTCTTAAGTTTTTCCACAAATGAAAACATTTCCTTACATTGAGACATGAATGGTAATTTAAAACTGGTTTCATGGATAACTCATTTTCTGCCATTTTTTCTCAACTTCACCTACTTATTAAACCCAAAGGTAGTGAGAGAATTTTACTGTTTCAGTGCTGACATTCTTCCCTCCCTACGTGTAGAAAGCTTTTCTTGCTATCATTTGGGAATCCCACATATATAGGAAGGGAAAAATATCAAAATAGAGCCTCTAAAGTTGATTTGGCTACTGCTTGTTAGATTATATCAAAATTTGAGCCAGGTGTGGTGGTGCACACCTGTAATCCAAGCTACTCTGGAGGCTGAGACAGGGGTACCACAAATTCAAAGCCAGCCTGGGCAACTTAATGAGACTCTGTCTCAAAAGAAAAAAGGAGAGAAGAAAAAGGTTGGTGGTGTAGCTTAGTGCTAGAGAACTTGCCTAGCATGCATCAAGGCCCTGGGTTCAATCCCTGGGATAGGAACAAAGTATATATATCAAATATAAATCTCTATCTATCTATCTATCTACATATCAAACTTTGGAAAATAGCAAGGTATACTTGAAAAAACAATGTGTTATATTTCCCCCACCAAGAAGTTTGATCAGAGTACTGAATTTAAAGGTTAGCATGAAAGTGTTATTAATTTATTATATTCAGCTATTTTTATTCTCTAAAGCAAAATGTTGTTCTTCTTATGCCTTTTCTGTAAGATCCACACTTTGTAATTTTGGAAAGATGCTGGTAGTTGGCCAATTTGGGATTGAAGATTTTGAAATAATATACTTATATCCATTGTGATTCTAAAGGGATTTTATGTGGGATAGAATCCTACAGGACTAAAGGAAAATTTTGATGACTGTGCTTATCAAGAATATAATATTTAAGGTGGTACTCTTAGATGTAATTGAGTTATATGAAAAAAGTGTAAGGTCTGATGAAAAATATGATGCCATCTATAATTGATGTAGGCAGGCAGGGTAACTGGACTATTGAAATTATCCATTGTAAAGTATAAGTTGACAAAGTCAAATACATCACACACACATAAAGGTAAACTAAATCCCTTAAAAAGTAAAAAAAAAATACACCACATTTTAAGTTATTTATTGCTAAGAAGTATTACATAACTATTCTGAAGTTATTTTTATTATCAATTGTTTTCCCCTGGACATTGGGTAACAGAAGACAAAGGAAATCGAGGTAAATTAGGCACATAGAAAATAAAAAGCATGTAGTCATTTTTCTTACATTGTAACATATTTTTGCACTAAGAATAAATAAAAATTAATGAAAACTTGACATAGCAAGCATGCTTGACACTAACCAATTCTTCACATCAGTATAAAACTATAGATGTAATATCATTAACTAAGAACTTAGTAATGTTTGATGCACATAGAATAACTGTTAAACAAGATTATTTATATGTAATGAAACATTTATAAATTGTTATCTATTTTGACTAACATGTGTACTATAGAAAAGCACTTTGTAAGTGCTGTAGATATTACATAATAATGTATAGCTATTGTCTTTAATGATAAATAGTATAAGCTAATTTTAAAAACCTAAACATTTGCCTAAGCAATAATTTCTTTTATTTTTAAATTAACTTTTCTGCTTTATTGCTTTTACTGAAAGGTTTTTATTTTAAAATTAAGGCTAAAAGAGAAATAGTTTATTTTTAGAAGTTATTTTTATTCCCATTAAACTTTTTTTTAACTTTCTAAATTATCTTTCCTTTAGTTTGTAGTGAGTTTTGTTGAATAATAACGTAAGTAGCAGCAGTAATATATGAGATTGTATGATGTGCAGCTATATGACAGATACTGCTTGCTTAGTCTTTAGAATTTTGAAGGTAACTTTCTAATAAGCCACTGTTTGTATTCATAAAATAAAATGTTTCCTCCCCAACATGCAAAATTTAAAAAGATACACGTAAATAACCATTATCATTAGTTCACAAACATATGCTATGGACCATCTACTATATATTATTTTATAGCTTTTCCAATGTAGTTTAGCTAACATTTTAGAAATATGTATTATTTCTAAATTCATATGCCTGTTTAAACTTCATTATCTCAAATGATACTGACAGATGTCATGAAACAGTATCATAATATACATATAGACATTATTTTGATGCAATAAACATGTGCTTTTTAAGACTTTCTTAATAAACACACATGTTTATTCTTTGCTAAAACATGTTTCTGCAAGTGCCATACCTATATTTTGCAAGTTTATATCTACTCAACCGAGACATTCTTGCTGAAGACTTTTCTTTGAAAACTCCTTATAATTAGAAATAAAAGCCCCTTCTCATTAGACAAAGCTATTGTTTTTACTTCCAGGAATCCACTCCTTCACCAAACTGACATACTGTAAAACATAGGTTTGGCACTGAAACATGCATTTTTATATTTTTGCTCCTTACTAACCAGGTAACACATGAGATGCAATGAAACTTCTACAAAGTAAACTTGTGTTATTGGTTTCTCTAAGCACAAAGCTATGTGACTAGTACTGGATTTGTAGATCTTGCTGCTGTGGCAATTGCATCTTATGTGGGATGTATCTGGTGTTTTATTATTTGTTTTAGAGTGTCATTTCAATGTAATGTGCTGTTCTTTGTGTCTTTGTTGTCTCTTTTTTTTCTTTGTCCCCCCAACAGCATTTTGTCCCGCACAGGGAAGAAGGAAAACCAAGATGCCTCCAATTTGACAGTGCCCATGACCATGTGTCTTTTTCCTGTGCCATTCCCACTCACCCCATCTCTAAGACCGCAGGTCAGTTCCATCAACCCTACTGTTACTCGCTCCCTCCTTTACAGCGTCCTGCGAGATGCTCCTTCAGAACGTGGCCCGCAAAGTCGTGATGCTCAGTTGTCAGACTACCCTTCTTTGGACTACCAAGGCCTCTACGTGACTTTGGTGACTCTCCTGGATCTAGTTCCTTTACTACAGCATGGCCAACATGGTAAGCATTTAGTGGAAACCTTTGAAGATGTACATGTGTGCTTATGAATACATATGATGCTGAGCAGGGGGCTCGGAGACAGTTGATATTGTCACCAATTGTTTGAGAGGGCTTTGTGTGGCTAAAGCCTTTCTTACACTGAAACTTAATTATGGTGCTTCCACCCTATCATTTTAAATGGTTGTGCAACTGAGGGATCTTATCCCAGTGGGTCTGTATTGGGGGGAATGAGCTGGAGACTGGAGGAAGAATATAACAAGAAGCTCTGTCTTCTCCCCTGATCAGTTTTTTTTTTTTTTTAAACCGGGGATTGAACTCAGGACCTTGCATTTGCTAGGCAGGCGGCGGAACCACTGAGCTAAATCCCAGGCCCTCTGATCAGTTCATTGTGGGGACTCATTGAAATCATGATTGGGAGCTAAAATTTTAAAACTTGCCCCAGAAAATGTAAAAGGTGGAGCTCGAAGAACAGACTCTAATCCACTGATGGATTCTGTGAATTTGGGGGGAAAATTTGGGGGACCCATTTTCCTGTCTTAAGTTAGGAGGTTAGATAAGAAAAAATCTCTAAGAATTCTTCCAAACTTACATAACAACAAATTATTACAACAAAATACTGTATCAAAATGTTATAGTATACAGTGTTAGTGGCTTTAGAGTAGAAGAGCGTGTGCTTCTTTTCTTAATTCTTCCCCTTTTCTATTGTGTCTTGAGCTAATTTCTATATCTTGTTTACTAAAATTTCCTAACTCATAAAAAAGAATGCAGTAATATCTACCAATTGACTATCTAATATGAATATGAGAGAACTAAATGGAAAACCATGCAGTAAGAAAAGAGGTTTGTTGCATAAAATACACTTTAAAACATTAATATTTTAAATTTCAAAACATTGATAATTTGGTTCCCGGAAGTATGATAACCAAAGTTTCACGGTACAGAAAAGCTAAGATTTTGGAATCAGGTGGGTGGGTAGGGATTATTTTGCCTTTTAACTATAGTAACTCTCCTTGCTTAATAGTTTATTTAGTATGTTGTGTTCCTAATAAATTTTTTTAAAAAATCTACTTTTGTAAAAATGAGGCAATAATGATTATTGATTTTGTTTTTTTCTCATGTTTACAATTGTGTATTGTAGTGAATATAAAAGTGTATAAATTTGTGAAGTTGTTTTTTGCATACTTTGTGGCTGTCGTAAGCCTAGCTGCCTTTATTGTGATCCTCTCCCAGCTCAGAATCTAAATGAGGCAAATCTGAACATAAGAGTGTCAGAGCTTAGGATAGCGGTGAGCTTGTCAATGCCACTTCTTTTTGGAGCCCATTGCGGAACTCATCATGGACCTGCCTGCTCCTGTCCACTGAGTTAGGGCAGCCTGCCTTTTATCTTCAAAGTCCTTTCAATTAAGATAGATATTCAATTTGGTAAATCAAAATTCATGTAATTATAATTAATGTGTAAATTGTGACAGCTCTGGGGAGATTTGTAGTTTTACTCTTACTCTACCACTGTTTTGTAATTTTACTCTTTATTGATATCTGTCTGTTGTGTTCTCATTCTCCACAATGGAGCTTAGGCAATAGGAAAAACTCACCAGTTCATTCAGTGAATGATTTAGAGAGACAAGGCAGCATTGCTTCTGTAAGCATGGTATGAAGAACCTCAGAAACACCTAGGGAATTGAGAATGTGGACTTCTCACACAAGAGACACTGAGGGGTGGGTCCTGAGATCTGAAGTTTAAGCCAGCTTCATGTGGATCCTTGTTTAACACATTGAGATTAAGAACCACTACTCTATGGCTACAGGCTGTGTCCTTACTCTGGGTCCCATAGGCTACAGCAAAGAGTATTAGGTAGTGGTTTGTTGTTGTTGTTGCAATTCAGCTATGAATGCTCAGGTGATCTTGGGCAATCATTTCCCCTCTCCAGATCTTTGTTTCCTTATATAAGAAATACTCTGAGTGGAGTACTAACATTTTGTAACTAGGCTAAAAGGCTCAGTGAAAGCAGCTGAGAGGTCTTCGACAGTTTCAGGTTATTAGTAAAGCACCTGTGAATTTTCCATTTTATTGATTTGAGCCCGGTATTGACTGACCCTGGGTCTCCAGTGATCAATGTGTTTACCTCCTCTCTGTTGCCACTTGTGATGTCTGTTGAGATGGCATATTAATTTCAATAATAATCAGAAATGACATTAGGAATCATAATAACATAAAAAAGTAAATCTGTAAAACAGACAAGAACATAATACTTTGTTATTATAGTGAATATGGAAATGATCAGTCTTCATTGTCGAGTCTTGGCTAATGGCCTATGTATTGCGTGGTTCAGAAATATGAAAATGTACATTTAGTGTTATGGAATTTACATACATTCTAAAGCTAAGCAGTTATGTATTCTTTGAGTGTCCCTTACTGTTTCTTCTTGCACAGCTACTACTAACAATATTAATATTAATAGTAACAGCTAATATTTGTGGAGCACACAGAATGTACTATGCTAACTTCTTTACATTTATCTTATTTAAATCTTCCAAGAATCCTTCTAATGAAATGAGGTAGGTATTATTGCTACCCTCATTTTAAAATGTTGATAGATTATGATTAGGAGTCTCTTACTTCCATGATGACTGATGACTGAGTGCATGGGGTCATGCAGGACCATCTTGCAGATTCCTTCCTTCAATACATGTTGAATCTGCTACTCATTGCCCATGACTCCAGGTGTAGGAACATTGTGGCTTTGTTGGTGGAGCATAAATAGCTTGGTTTTATTTCTAGTTCTGTCCTTGACTTTTTAAAAACTTGTATAAAATGTAATGGAGGCAAGAATGCTGGAGGGATTTCAGGATTCATTTTCACATAGAAAGCGCTTTGAATTTATGAAATCAAGGAGCAATATGAATACCAAATATTACTAATTATTGATACATCATAAATATTGGGGCAAGCTCATGTACTACACATTTATATTTCTTAATATATTCACTCATTGGCCATTGACCAAGTCCCGTATGCATAGCACACTATACTAAGCAGTATGTTTCAGAACTCACAGTAGGAAGGGAAAATTAGTTGCTTATAATTTAAACCAGCTCATTAAACTTAAAATGTAAAATTAGTATATTTTTGTAATGACACAATATACAGTGACTGATTACTCAATTTTGTTTTGTAGATCTTGGACAGTCAATATTTTATACAACTACATGTTTGCTACCCTTTCTCAATGATGATATTCTGAGTACTTTGCCCTACACGATGATATCAACGTTAGCTACCTTTCCTCCATTTCTGCACAAGGATATTATTGAATATCTTAGCACATCTTTCCTACCAATGGCTATATGTAAGTTCAATCTTACCTAATACTAGATTATTTTTATTTATTATACAAATGGAAATTGATTTTGCTGTTATAGGCTCTTGATTTTAATGGAATCACTTGCTGTATACATGTACCGTGATTTAAATTCAGTCGTTTCAGCTTGGCTATTATGAAAATCAAAGAAATAAAAAATAATTATACTTTAGAATCATTTTATTCACTTAGTTTTGTCTTACAGAAAGAAATAACATGTCAAAGAACAATCTCTATTTCCTACTTATAAATTACAGTGTTGCCTCTGATGTAGATACTTTTATCTTTTGTATCTAAAAACAGTAGGGTGTGATGCAAAGAGCCATAGAGTTGGATGTGTAGATTCTGGTTCCAGCTCTGTGCTTAATTTGCTGTATGATATTGGGCAGCTCACAGAGTTGAAAACTCATTCACATACTGATGATCACATCAGCTTTCCCTCACAGGGTGTAGTGATGATAAAATGGGTCAAAACCTGAAACTCATGTGCAAGGGTTACAAACATATTCCTGATTTGAATTTTCTTTTACTTTTTATAGACTTCTGCAGGCTTATCAGATATGAGAGCAAAGAGGGAAAAGTTTGGTTGTGGTTTTCATGATCAATCTTTCTAAAGCATTCTTTAAAAAAATGGATTGTGGATTAATCTGTTTCAGTGGATAATCTGAAAAGATCCTAGATTTAGGAATCAAGCAGATAGATCTAGACTCAAATCACAGTACTGCTACCAGCTAGCTGTGTGACCTTAGGATACTTAATCTTTGTTTCTTACCTGTACAATGGCAATAATAAGCATAGCTGTCTCATGAGGTTGTTGTGATGATTAAGACGATTAACTTGGAATATTAGTTAAGTGCAAATATAATGCCTGGCAAACAGTAATGTTAGTTTACTTTTCTCCTTCCCTCAATTCTTGTTCTATGAAAGTACCTTTATTGGTTACATTCAATTCCTAATCATTGCTCTCACAATTTTAATTTTAATATACTTATGATCTTATTATTAGTACACTTTAGGTATACAATATGTTTACATTTATCATTGGGGGTTTGTACCTGTACATGATGTATCTTGGTTCTTATTTTTTCCCCATTACCTGTGCGCCCTTCACCCCCTCCACCCTTCCCTATTCACATAGACTTCATTTCCATTTTTTTTCTTTTCTCATAATTTTTCCTTTCCCTTCTTTCCTTTCCCCTTCCCCTCCCACTTTTCTTACCCCTTTGGACCTTTTCTTCCTATTTCAAAGTATCAATTATTCATTTTAATCATTTTAATCCTTATTTACACTTTCAGTTTCTCACACTAGAGAAACTATTCAGTATTTACACATCTTATGATCTTATTAAATGTTACTCTGTCAGCAATTGGCAAACATGTACATTTTGAGCTACATTTGCTTATTTTATAATTAAGTTTAATTTCAGCTTTGGAATTGTGATTTTCATGCCTTTCCAGCAAAGTCTCTTATTTCTGGCTAAATTGTACAGCAATTCAGATAAGCAGAGTAATCATACCATTCATTTAATAGACTATTTGGTCATTCTCTTTTTTTGTTCTGTGTAAGCTTCTGGATAAATGCTCGTTTATGGACATCGTTTTCAAATTATATAGTTATATTTTAAAATAACTAATGTTAACTGTTAAACATAGGCATCAAATTCTTGTTTTTTTAAAGAATAGATGAGGCTGTATTTTTCTAATCACTGACTTACTATATCCCTATTTTTTAGGAATATGTTAATAATTTTGGAAGAGGCATTGAATATAGCAGATGTCTGAAATTATACTTCTGTCATTTATTAGGCATTTTGACAGCTGGCAATTAATTTATTCATACTTAATTATTAATTTCTACTTAGAAATACAGAACCCCAAACACACTTTGTGGTTATATTAGATTTCTTACACAAATGTGCACATCTTGGCTAGAGCAAATTTGTAAGCTGAGTTTATAAAATTTGTGATTAGTGGAGGAATGATGTTTGTTCAATGGTGTGAACAAATTGCTTAATGTCTCTGGGATTTAACTTTTTTTTAACTGTAAGGAAAGGATTTGGGAAAAATGTTTAGTCTCTAAGGTTATTTCTGGTTTAATTGTCCTAGGCTAAATCTTTTTTTTTGAGACAGGGTCTCGCTATGTAGTTCAGGTCAGTCTTGAACTCACTATGTAGCCCAGGCTGGCCTCAAACTCACAGCGATCCTCCTGCCTCAGCCTCCCAAGTGCTGGGATTACAGGCGTGCGACACTAGGCTAAATCTTACGTTATGTAATCAATTGTATTTTATGTAAATGGCATGTGCCTTCCACTAACCCTGTCACTGACCTGGTTCATGTGTATTTCATTGCTATGATTTTAGTCTCTTAGTTTTGACCACATTTTGCAATCACCATTTCAGTAGTTCAGTAGTAGCCAATTTTGTCATCTTTAAATCTTTGAAAATAAGTCACAGCACCAACCTTAGCTCTTCTCTCAAGGCTTGAGCAGAGGAGAAACTACGTGTCCCTCCAGGTAATGTAGTCTGGCAAAGTGTAGGAAATGGCTCTATCATGTTCACCAAAGTGTGTTCCTTCTTCCCATATGACTCCCTTATGTTGAGTCTTCAGAAAAGTATTAAGTCAGGGACATTATTTTACACAATTTAGGTGCTTCTTTGGTGTTCATTATTTAATAAAGTAGTTATAAAGACACAGATGCAGATAAAAGAGATCTGGTTCCAGATCACTCATGTTAAAGTGGATTGATGTGAGGATGTGGGTCTGTTTATTGTATCCACTTTCTTTCTATTTTTGGTAGTTATTTCAATGTCTAGAAATTTTGACTAAAATGAGACTGGATCACTTAACTTCTTCCAGAATATTTTTATCTCAGGAATGAGATGTTAATATGAAAAATGATGCATTTTCTGAATTCTTGATAGCCTTTAAGACAGAAAGGCTTAAAAAAAATCTCGGGTGTCATGTTCCTAAGGTCAAATATAAAGTATGGACAATTTTTCAGATATTAAATGCTTTTATCATTAATGATTGTATCATTGTCTATATCACCTGGATGAAGTTCTGAGCTTTGAAGTGGGCCTAATGAGATATCACAGCTCCTTTAGATTAAGATACCTGCATAGCATATATGTCCTTCATGTCATCTTTGTCAGTAAACCAAATGCTGTATTTTTATTTTTAAATAACTCCTTCTGAGGCCTTGCAGAGCAAACATTGATTTATTTATTATAAAAGTTTTCTTTGCCATATCGTCCCTTTTTAACTCTTTCATAAATAAAATATATTTCACTTTTTTCATATGTATGCAATATCTTTTGTTTATAAAAAATATATTAAAGGATTTACTAAGAATTGAAAAGTCATTTACATGTCACCGTGGAAACTTCTTCCAATAAAGGATCTGTTATTTGTGGACTGAATTGAAATATGGATGTTTGAAAGATAATGCTTTGACAGAAAAGAGAAAAAGCTGATTCCAAATGAACATTAATTGATGTGGGCTACATTATTTAAAAGGTAGTAATAAAGGCAAAGAATTGTCAGTTCAAGATGCTTCTAGTATATCTTAACATCCTGTGTTATATACAGTCTCATCCAGTTTCCTTTCCAATTTTGATTTTTCTCAGAAAATCATTTCTTTAGGAAAAATAAAGATTTGCTCAATATTTGTTTTGACTTAAAAGCAATAGTGTACTTAATTGAATGTCTGGTTCCAGACTATTGGCCATGGATCATTTTTTGTGCTATTACTATTGTGATATCTGATACAAGATATATTTCTATGATTTAAAAACTAGCATTAGATAGAAAAAAGATAGGCAGTAAATGCAAAATATTGATGACATTTAAATGATCTTATATGCATTCTATTTTATTAGCTAAGGACTGTTTTTTTTATAAGGTAGGTCTTATGTTCTATCAGCTTTATTGTTGAATTGTGAAAAATATTTTGGTACTGGAATTCAGAAGAGCTGCATTGTGGTCCTTCAGCTGTTGGCAAATCTCATAACCTCATCAAAATTTCCTCTCCTTAGCTGTAAAAGTGTCAGTAATCATAACTTCTTCCCCTGTCTACATCCGATGTTCGTTGTGAAGATCATGAGATAACATGTGAAAATGACTTTTGAATATTCTGTGACCTTGTACCAAGTGCATCTGGGCCAAATGGTAGTCAAATTGCAGACACGTCAAATCCCATTGCAAATAATTCTAATATTGTTCTGAAATTTCCATGTTGTTCTGAAATTTTATTATTTTAAATATTGCTTAAGGTAAGTTATAATCCATTAGGGTTTGGAATTTTTTCTCCTTAGTTTGTTGTATGATAACAGTAATTATGACAGCAGATTTATTATAGCATACCCTAGAACATGGTAGAATACTTCTGCAGTGTTGGTGGGCATTCTGCCTTTAGGAATGTTCACCAACCTCCCAATCTGCAAATATTTTAGTGCTGCATAGACTTCAGGGTCATAATGTATTAGTCTTTCCTTTATGTTAAACTAATATCCCCTTCTGAAGGGATGGTTATCATATACACAAACGCTCCCTAATGGAATAAATTACCTCTGCTCTCAAGGTTTGAGCAAAGGAGCAACTATGTGTCCATCCAGGTAATACAATCTGGCAAAGTATAGGAAATGACTATCTCGTGCACCAAAGGATTTTCCTTCTTCCCTTGTGACTTCCTTATTGTTGAGTCTTCAGAAAAATACAAAGTTAGGGGCAATTATTTCAAAATAGTCCAACTCAGACTTCTTATCACTTTTCTCATCTAGACCAATCCAATAAATTAGTCTTCTGCTTTCCTTCTTAGCCCTTCTAAGGACTAACTTAGCCCTCCTAACTAGTCTCGTTGCTTCTCATCTTACCCCTGCTTATTCACCACAAAAAAGCCAGAGCTGTCCTTCAGACATGTAAACCAGATCCTGACACTTCCTGCGTCCAAACCATCTAATTTCCCATCACTCTTGCAAACCAAGTTAAATGTCCTTACTTGACCTGTAAGGCCTGCTATAATTTGGCCACTGCCAACCTCACTACTTTGATCCCAGTTTCTTTATGTGTCCAGTCTGTTCATATTAGCCTTTCTGTAGTTTCAGAAAGGCACTGAGCTTTGTTTGTTTCATACTTTTTCCTCTGTCTCAAAATCCTTCTCCCAGATAGTCACATGATTTGTTTTATTACTTTCTTTAGGTTTCAGATCAAGTACCATTATCTTCCAAGATGCCTTTTCTTACTTTCTAGTTAACATAGAACCTTCTATTGCCTTCTCTCTGTTCCCTTGCTTTGCTTTATATTTCTTCACTGGCATATGTTTGCCCTTTTTTCTCAAGCAGTACATAGGAGATAAAGAAAAAAATATTGTTGAATAAATGAGTGATAAGAGCATTTGGCTGTAAATTTCAGTGACTTGAACTCTAGTCCTAATAAATATGTTGGTATTCTCATGCAAATAATTTGGTCTGTCTTTTTTGTAAAATGATTTTTTTCTGTATACTTTTTTGCGTGAGAATTGTGTAAGAGCTATACATGATGATACATTGGAACTGTAAAATGGAGGAACATGTTAAGGGATTGATAATACTCATGGAAGGAGGAATGATGGTAGTGATTGTTCTGGTCATGCTGAGAGTATAGGGACTAGGACTGAAAGCATTTAACTGTATCTCCTGAGCAAAATATTCAGTGTAAAAATTTTTCTTATTTTGGCTATCTTCTCCTTTCTGTTGTATGTATTTTTGGGGTTTTTATACTCTCATGGAGACAAGCTGTACACATGTTTACATTATGCCTTTTATTTATTTTTTATTTTTTTACATTATGCCTTTTAAACAAAATTCAATAAATGATGTGTGCTTGTGCATGTTTATTAAATTAGAGTTGCAGTGATTTATTAATTCTAGTAGAAGGGAATGAAATTGCAAGATGTTGTTTATTTGTATAAGTATAGGGGTCAATTTCATAGGGTTTTAGCAAGGTGAACACTGGCTTTATGGCTAGCCATTCTTGGGGGAGAGCATAGGTTTGTAGGGGTAACAGGGACATCCAAAGGTTGCTGAACCATTTGGGCAGTTGTCCAAATAGACTTCACCTAAATCATTCAAGACTGTTGGGCATTTCTCCCGTTTTTAAAGACCTCTAGGCATAATGACTCTCAGGCTCTCTTAACAGTAGTTTTCAACTTTGAGAAATGCTTATTAAAAGTTTGAGATGAATTGAAACAAAGACAAAAACACGTGTCCTCCCAAATCAGTAATTCTCTCTGTCTGTCTATAGGCACAAGGAATATTGTGTATACTGTGATTTTTCCCATGCTTGGGCACCTCACTGGGTATTTCCTTTCTTATTTATCATCCTTCTAGCAGTATTTCTCAAAGGGAGGCCCAAGGCTAGCTTGCATCAGAATCTCATGTGGTTATTAATTTAACATGGAGTTTCTTACTTCCCAAACTGATAAGAGTTAGAATTTCTAGATATGGGCATTCACAAAATTGAATTTGAAAGAGATCCCTGGCTAAAATTTGAGAGCATCTGCATCTTATTCTTCAGCATTTGACTCAAAGTCCTTTTTCCTTAATTACATTTGATTTAATCAAGTTTACCATCTAAGAACAATGTACTAATCTCTATATCTTTGTCTAATTATTAACACTTATTTATATCATATAGCCAAACTAATTTACTTTAGGAGCACTTATGAAGCATGATTAAAAATATGATGGATGTTTCAAGTTTTAAAGTTTATTACAGTAAAAGATACATTGCTTTGGATGCCACTCAGAATACTCCCTCTTGCTTCAAACACACCTATCCCATCATTCTTGCCACTTTCTGAAGTGGTTCTGGAGTCCTCTTTTATAAGTGTCTTCAGTTGTACTGTCATGGCTGCCTTGATGTCCTGAATCAATTAAAGTGTTTACCTTTCATGATCATTTTCACTGTGGGGTAGATCCAGAAGTAGCATGGTGCCAGATGTGGTGATAAGGTGATTGAGAACACACATCACAATGTTTTTACAAGCCTCCTTTTCTGTTGAATGGCACTCAGCAACAATGGTTGCTGTATTTTTGATTGCACCATATAAAGACACTCACAAAATAGGACTTCCAGAATTCCTTGAGAAAGTGGAAAGAATGTTGGATAAGTGTGTTCAAAATGAGGGGGAGTATTTTTGAGAGAGATTAATGGCAATGTGTCTTTTACAGTAATAAATTTTTAAATTTCTACCTTCACTGTATGATTCAATCAGACCTAGTCAATTATGGATGTTTTATTTCTTTCTGTAAAAGTGTTGTAAAGGCCACTGTCCATTATGGTGTAGAATCAATTTTCATGTATTTTATTATAAACTGTCTTTTTCTTTTTGGGTGTAGGTGAGATACATTTCCCATGTAGTGTAATTTCATATAAAATAAAATAAAGCAGGTTTGGGGGTTATTTGTTTTTTGATTGTTGCCCATGTCAATGGTCTTTTATGAATAGGAAATTAAGAGTTGACTTTTTGAGGGTTTTATACTTTGTACTTATTCTGTTCATGTTTAACAATTTGCCACATAAGCTCAAGTTTAAGGAAAAGTTTCTTCTATTTCTGCAGTTATCTCTGGCAAAGAGAAATTTCCTTTATATTTGACTCTTAAAGTTCTTCCTATTGTGGGTCCTCTCTCAATCACTGTATTTAGGAAAACAAAGTACCCTTTGGAGATGACATATCACCCCCAGTGACATCCATCAGTGGTAGTTTTGAATGCTTACCTGATACACTGTATTAAACAAAAGAGAGACATAGTAATTTACTGGTTGATGTCACCACGAACAAGACACTTAAAGATATTTTAAAAGGAGTATGTTAAGTGGAGATCATGATTATACAGTTATAAGATGGATTTTGAAGAAACAAACTTGCTTTGTGATGGAATACTTGTTGGCATACAATAAAGTGTACAGCATCTGCATTATTCACTGATTCAAAAAGTACTTTATATCAGACAGCTCAAATGGATATGAAAATGGTAAGCTTGGAAAACTAAAAAAATTGATTTTCATGGTAATGAAAATATTGATGATGAAGTTACAAGTGAAGGTTTGAATAAGACTGTTTAATGATGTATGAACATTGGAAATAAAGTTTAAATTAATATATTTTATTATACATATTTAAAATTTGTATGTATAATTAAATAAGTTACACATTATACTAGCTTATTTCATGTGTATCTCTACAAGCTAATACATTCAAGTTGGGCTTATACATAAATCTTTTATTATTGGGACAATCTTAAAATGCCTTTATATTTAGGCATATAGAGGTTCAATTTTTTCTTTCTTTTCCATCTTGGGAGTAGAGATCACACGAAAGTACAACTCTGATAAAGTCATTACATCATGTTCTAGCATTGTTCCCTCTCCTTGTAGATTCTTTCTAGATGTTTGCTGTGGATGATGACAAGTTTACCATTGTATACAAGAAAAATTTTGTGGTTTTATTTGTGCAAAACATCCATTGGTTTGATTAGGACTTCATTTTAAGTTCCTTAGTTCTTATGCTCTATGCAAAGTAACAAGTGTATATGCCTAAATTTATGTATTAAACTCTAATATAAAAAATTTTGGTTTCAGTGGGCTCCTCCAGGAAAGAAGGTGTTCCTGCCCATGTGAATCTCTCTGCATCCTCCATGTTAATGATTGCAATGCAGTACACATCTAATCCAGGTAAGTAGAAATCTGAGCAACTTGACTAATTCCAGAACCAATCACTAAATAAGATTCAATAAGCAAGCTGGAAAGTTTATGCAAAAACTTCGTTTTGTGGAATAGGCAACTGGAGATAAGTTAGAAATCACTTTTGAATTAAAATAAAATTTTCTTGTCTGTTGCAGTAGTAGTGACCTTGTTGACAAGTAATATTTTTACAATATATGAGGGTAAAATTTTACAATATTACTGGAAATTGATTGAATATAAGTATATAGAAATAGTTAAAACTAGAGAAATATAAAAACCATCTGCAATTTTGACAATTAATGATAACTACTCTTAATAAATTGGTAAATTTGCTCCTCTAATGCCATGTGAATATTCTTTTACCTTAGAAGAAATTATAAAAGAAGGACTCATGAGTTAAAGGTCATGAAAAAATTTCAGTAGTCCCACTATTTGTGCATAAAAGTGCTTGTCTCATTGTGACTTGTTGCACATTATGATGAAAAATAAAAATAATAATATCTCATTTTTATGTCTTAGATTACTAGCGATGTTGGAAAGGTTTATGACTTGACTTTGTTCAATTCCCATTTGTCAGCCTAGTTGCAGATGAACTTGGGAATCTGACATAAAAGAGAGCTGACTGTTGGAATCAAATGCTAAGATATGACCTCACTCTTTATTTTCACTTAATGTTAATTTGGAAAGTGATCAAATTTCATGGCATTACATTTAACCTTTTGTTTAATTAAGTTGACTAATAATTGAGCTTTTGACAGAAAATGAAGGAAAATATATATTTTTTTCATTTCAAAATCTTTATCCTTCTTGGTCTGCAGTGTCACCCTTGTCTTTTTTTTTTTCTTCCTTGAGATGGAGTCTTCTTGTGCTGCCTAGGCTTGCGTCACCATACTCCCATCCTTTGTCTTAGTCGGGATGCTATAACAAAATGCCATACATTGGGTGGCTTGCAAACCACGTTAATTTCTCACAGTTCCAGAGCCTGGGAAGTCAAGATCAAGGTGTTAGCATCTAGTTAGAGGGCTGCCTAATCACTTTATTAACTTCTTGGTATGACTTTAATGGTCTCTGCTTCTTATTTGATTGATAATTCTGTCTTTAAATAATTTCCCTCTTTTTGAATCTTGGTATAAAGAGTCAGAAGAAGTCAGGCCACTCTTTCTACACTTCTCTAAGAAATTTCTTCAGGCAAATATGTAATTTTGTCACTCACAAGTTCTATCCTCTACAAAACACTGGGATATGAACATAACTCAGCCAAGTCCTTTGCCACTTTTATAACAATAATGGCCTATGGTCCAGTTTCCAGTAGCATGTTCCTCATTTCTGTCTGTCATCAGAATTGCCTATACTGTCCATATTTCTGCCAACATTCTTTTCAGGATCACTTAAATACTCTCTAAGAAGATTGAGGCTTTCTCTATAGATCTGCTCTTTTATTTCTGAGTCCTCACTAGAACTTTTTTTAAAAAATTCACTTACAGCAATGTAGGCTTTTCTAGAATGCACCCCAAATTGATATAGCTCCTACTCATTACTCTGTTTCAAAGTTCCTTCAGCATTTTTGGTTATTTGTTACAGCAACACCCCACTATTTAGTACCAATTTTCTGTTTTAAACTGTGTAGAATGCTGTAACATAAACATATGGTGAGGGCCCACTTCCTGACTCACAAATAGTATCTTTGGAGTGTGTCCTCAAATGGCAGAAAAGGCAGAGGAATTCTCTGTAACTTATTTTATAAGGGTATTTACTAACCCTCTCATGATGGTTCTGCCCTCATGATCTAATCATCCCCCAGTAACCCCACCTCCTAATACCATTACATTGGGGATTTGGATTTAACATGAATTTTGAGGTGACACATTCAGTCCATGGCATCATTTAAGTATGAACTCCCTTATGATTACTATATGAATTTAATTAAAAGGTGTATTTTGGGAAAGTTATATCTCATGTTCTCTCTGTTTAGGACATCAGAATATAATTATATTTACTATAGATTGTCTTCTAGGAAAAAAAAAGCTCTTCATTTGGAATCTAGTTAACTAAAGTCTTCTGAGGCTTATGTCCTAATGTAGGAAAAGTAGGAATGCAGCATGCATAAAATCATGTACTTTGAGATTAGATGTGTATTGATTCATATCTGAGCTTACCTCCAAATTGCCTGTTAGTGTAACCTTGAGCAAGTTTTCTCATCTATAAAATGGGGATAATCTTAAAATGTTGTTTTGAAGAATGTAATGAGTTAAATATATGTAAATTGCTCACTTGGCTTAGTGACTGGCATATTGTAAGTGCTCAATAAATAGCAATGTGAATCCCTACAATATGATGTTTTCTTCTTCAAGTTGTATATTTCACTGGAAAATTGCTGTGATCCGAGAGTTATGTTATTGGCAAGTCTTTATCTTTTTGGTTTCGTGAACAGTCTCTCCATTTATTTAGATATTTTGTTACTTTTGGTTACAATTTATAGTTTTTAGCATACAGGCCTTCCATATTTTTGTTCAATTTATCCTGAAATACTTCATTTCAATTATCCTATTTAAATGGAGTTTATGTCCTTTTTCTAATTTCTTGCTACTAGCATATAACTATATAAAATATATAGCATATATAAAATATAGTTGATTTTTTAGTAAATTCATTTACTAGTTCAGGTGATTGTTTTGTGTATTAGTATTTTCAATCTAAACAATCATGTCATCTTCAATTTACATTAATTCTAATAGTTCTGTATAGGAATTCTATTTGGTAAATTGACAGTTTCAAATATTGAGTCTATTTTAATGCCATATGTCTTTAAAATATTCTTTATTAGTACATATTTGAAGTACGTAATGATTATATTTATTTTATGGAGTTGTTACATGTGCATAATACATCTTGGTTCTTTTTTTATCCCCTGTCTCTCCTCTCTCTTCCTACTCTTTCTCTTAGTTCCTTCCTAGTGCAAAACCTCTATTTTTTCTCTTTATTTCATCTCCTTTCCTTCCCTTCTCTTCTCCTCTCTGTCTCTGGTTTCCCCATTCATTTGAAAAAGATCTCCCTACCTCCTATTTATCTTCTATTTTGCTCTCTCTCTCTCCATATAGATAATTTTTCTCATATTAGAGGAACCATGCAATATTTAAGCTCATGCTTCTGACTTATTTCACTTAATATTGTGGTTTCAAGATGCATCCATTTAGCTACGGATGCCTCAAGTTTATCTTTCTTTATCTTCATGTGTTCATGGGGGAATGTTTATAGCCAGATATTCCATAGTAGAAATTATATTTCCTACCCTAAAATAGTCTTATAATGTGGGAAACAGTTAAGAAGTGAGGCATTGTTCACCAGGGGCACTCTGGGATCAAGTACTAGGACACCATTCTTTTTTTTTTTTTTTTTTGGTACCGGAAATCGAACTTGGGACCTTGTGCTTGTGAGGCAGGCAGCAAAACCACTGAGCTAAATCCCCGGCCCGGCATCATTCTTCTGTTTATATTTTTGTTGGGAGAAGCAAGAAGTGGCAGGTTGGTTCTTGCAGCTTATTGTGTGTTAAAGGCAGAACACAGTACTTGCTCAGGGACCTCCTGTGTACTTGGCTCGTGTTTGGTAGTGTGAAAACCACACAGACATGTAAAAATGGTGCTTTCTGTGGAACATATGTTTAATTGGGAATACTAGGCATAGTCACATACATCAGTAATTAAAAATGAAAGTAGTATGTGGAAAGTAACAAAAAAATGCTGTAGATGGTACTAATTCATTAGAAGGAGAGAACTCCATAGATCAAATGGATCAGGAAGGCATCATGCCACTTGAGCAAAGAAAATATACAGAGTTTTGATTGATAGGGTAAGTGGGGCATTCTGGGAGAGAAGTAGCTTAAACATATGGGCTTCTCAGGACTGTTCATGGGGCAGTTGGTGCAACACTGAATAAGGTTCCTACAGCAGACTCATATAGAATAGCAAACACTATGTAAGAGAAAGTGTCCTGGTACATCTATACTTGAGGACTCAGTGATGGCTTAAGGACAAACTTCTGTTTCTATAGTGATTCTTCAACAAATAACCACTGACTATGGAACACAGTGGTGAGCAAAACAGAACTGAATCCTGCCTTCACCTATCATATGGTAGGGCGTGGAGAACATATTAATCAAATAATCATAAATCAAGTATAAAGTTTCAATCATAGCAAGTGCTTAAAGTATCTTGTGTTATGAGACTCCGTAAAAGAATATTTTTGTGCTGGAGATAGTGGTACATGCTTATAATCCCAGCACTCCGGAGGCTGAGGCAGGGAGATCGCCATGAGTGTGGGGCTAGTGAGTTCAAGTAGTTTAAGCCTGAACTATGAAAGAAAGAGAGAGAGAAATTTAGCCCTTCTTGAGGAGAACAGGAAGGGGCTTCCTGAGAGAGCAACTTTTGTTCTGAGAAGTCAGTGATGAGTATCTTAAGATGGCCTACAAGCTGGGAGTGGGATAGGGTTCCAGGCAGAGGAACCTCATGTGTCAAGAGGGAGCTTGTTAAGCTGGTGGGACTGAGGGATCACTGTAGCCCTCTGGATGAGGGTTGCTTGCTGTGACATGAAACTTAGAGAGCAAGCAGGATGACATGGGCTCTATTAGGGAGTCCTGTGTTTATACCAGAGGCGCTCTGATGGATGCCTATGTGTCACTCTGATTTCAATTGAGACTGAATTGAAGAGGAGCCAGATTAGGTATATGTTCAAGCATGTCAAAAGCAGAGGCAATTGAAATTGGGAAAAGTAGACTTATTTAGAGCTATTAAAGAAGTAAAATTGAGAGGTCTTTGTGACATATTGAGTACAGTGGGTTTCTGGTTTGTACTAACTGGATGATGCATGGTTGTTCACTGATAAAGTAGGCAGTAGCAGATGAGGCTTCTCAGGGAAGATTATGAGATCTGTTTTGGACATGTGTTCAAAGTGCCTGTAAGATGCCTAACAGGAGGAGTATGTAGCTGTGTTATGGGTCTAGAGTTCAGAACTGAACTCTAGACTACAGGTAAAATGAACTTTAAGCCTACATGCAAGTGTCCAGTGACCTTCATTGAATTGTGTGTTGATGATTACTTTAGTTATATAAGAGTGTGAGATTGCTTAGGGGATAACATTGAATGAAAAGTAAAGTGGGTCAGGCATGGTGGTACACACATGTAATCTCAGCACTGAAGCTGAGACAGGAGGATTGAAAATTTGAGCCCAGCCCGAGCAACTTAGCAACTTAGTGAGACCCTGTCTCAAAAGAAGAAAAAAAAGATTAAAAGGGGTTAGGGTTGTAGCTCAGTGTGATGGCCCCCTGTTCAATCCCTAGTACTGCCCCCCTGCCCAAAGTCTTGGAAATTTCCACAATGAGACAAGGAGGGCCAAAGGATGAAGAAGAAGTTGCCAAGGATATTGAGAGGTTGTATCTGGCTGACTTTAAACTACAAGCATATTTGCAGTTTGCTTATTAGAGAGTCTTAAAGATAGCTCCACAATATTAGGGGGCTTTGACAGTGTCTTTGTGTTTCTGTTGGACTTCTCAATATATTTGTACAATGGTAGCCACAGTGGAGGGTATTATATATTCATACAATCAGTCAGAGTCCTTAGAGAAGTCTTCGGGTAAGCCTCTTTCCTTTTATCAGAGGGAGAGAGAGGGAGAGGGAGAGAGAGAGGGACAGAGAGAGAATATGTCTCAGAAATTCCCCAGTAGATTCTCTCTTAGGTCTTCCTGGCCACGACTAGTCCCACATCCACCCTAGCTACAAGGGGGTCTGGGAAAATTTGTGTGTTGGCATATGACAAGGAAGAAAGTGTTATTGATAGCATTTGAGTGGGAACAATAGTGTCCACCACAGGTGAAAGAATGGGTCACAAATCCATGACGCCTTTGAAAAGGAGACTGGTCAACAGAATTGAATGTTGCTGACAAGTCAAGAAATTGCAGGCTGAAAAATGTCCATTAAATTGAATGACATAGAGGTCATTGGTAACTAAAATGTGACCATCTTCAGGGTCACAATGGAGCTAGAAGGTAGATTAGGGAAGGTAGCAAATGGGCATCTAGAATGAAAGTGTCTTTCATCCTCAAGCTAACACAGGCACATCAGGGGGGGTTTGTTCTTGTGTAGGTTCTAAAAGTTCCTCTGTAAGGTGGAATAGATGATCAAATGGTAAGAGTCCCAGTCTCATCCCATCGGATGTCACTTGGTCTCAGTCCAACCTTAGGCAAGATTGAGGATGAAGTCTGAGTTTCCTTCAGCAACAAGCTCTCAGCATAATATTTGTTGCATAATGAATACTCAGTAAATATAAGCTTTTATGATCTTATTTAGCTACTTTTCCTATGCATTTCTTGATTTCACTGACACAAGATTATGGTATTAAAATAAGTTTACTAAAGACTCTTAATATGTCTTTTGTAAATATGATGTGTGAAATATTGCTCAAGGATCTTGGAATAAAGCTTGATAAAGACAAGGACTAATATGATTTTTGCAAAGTAGGAATCCAAGTGGATAAATAATTTCCAATTTAATGATTAGAGTGAAAAGTCATACTAAAGTAGTTAATTATATCTCAAAGGATGTTTTATATGGTATTACATTTCATATACAAATCGCATTTTCTTCCTTACAGTGTATCATTGTCAGTTACTGGAATGCCTCATGAAATATAAACAAGAAGTTTGGAAAGTAAGTTTTGGGTCAAATTTAAACCATACTCACTAACTTATGTAATATACATTACAGCTGTTATTTGGGTCAAATTTATCAATGTCTTTATTTTTTTGAGGCAGGGCCTATGCTTTTTACTTATAATTTAGAGCAGAAACTAAACTTTAAGAACGGGCTGTTTTAGGGCTGGGAATGTATGAGGCCCTGGCTTCAATCCTCTCTTAAAAAAAAAGAAATAACTATCTTGACAGATAAAGTAATTAAATGCATCTTATTCTTGGAATTAGGAAATTATATTGTGTGACAAGTATTTTTAGTTTGAGAAATTGCTTGAGAATCCGTCTTCTTCCAAATAGGAGACATTACATGTTAAGAAATATGATTAGGAAGGGCCGGGGATTTAGCTCAGTGGTTCCTCTGCCTGCCTTGCAAGCGCAAGGTCCCGAGTTCAATCCCTGGTACCAAAAAAAGAGAAAAGAAATATGATTAGGAAAATATTTTTATTGCAGTGTTTGACATGCTGGTGTATGCTATTTTGAAATTTTTCTGTAACATGAATCTGATTAGAGATATTAAAAAAGTGCATTTTTAAACTCCCTCTTGGGGAATTATTTAAGAAGGACAAATAAATAAATACTAAAAATAATGTCTTTATGTGGTCTATTCTGTGTAGCATGCCTATATGATGAAATTCCAGGGAAATTACTCACCTCAATCACTGCATAGGAATTTTCACTGCTCTGGTAATATTGAACGAGCAAGATTTATTTTCATTTGATGATGCTAAGTCAAAATATGCTTCCTGTTTCCTTTAGGATCTTTTGTATGTGATTGCCTATGGGCCTTCACAGGTGAAACCTCCAGCTGTGCAAATGCTTTTCCACTACTGGCCCAATTTAAAACCTCCTGGGGCAATAAGCGAGTACAGGGGGTTGCAGTACACAGGTAAGAAGAGAAGAGCCCTGTGATGCCCCCTCTGTATTTCTCCTGTGCCACATTTACCTTACCTACCTTTAAAAAAAAATCTTGCCAGATTATATGTACTGTGCCTTGGGACATTGTCACACATCCTTTCTGAAACTAGGCAGTTTAAAAATGAATTAGCTAGCCAAGTGTGGTAGTCCCAGCTACTGTGAAAGCTGAGGTATAAGGATCGCTTGGACCAAGTTTGGGTCAGTTCTGGGTAGCAAAGAGAAACTCTATCTCCTTAAAAAGATTAATTAACTAAAATCAGTTTCAGAAGTATCTATGACAACATAGTAAATTGCCTAAGTTCCAGTTCTATTTGCTGTACAGCGGGCCTGTGGTCTTAACTATTGCTGAGATAAATCTCTACAAAATCATGAGCATAAGATTAATGTCGTGAATTTACTCATCATTTAGCAAAAACCCCACCTGGCTAATTCTGCTCTGGTAAGAAGAGTTCCATCATTTTCAGTGTTGCCATTTGATGCACTAAATAAAAATTAATGACCCCGATAACCTCATTTGTTTAGGTAGAGCCAAAGATTGATGAGTCTTGGTGTAATTAATCATAAGAAGTAAATACTAACTTTAAATGTAATGACAGATATCTACCAAAACCTTTGCAAAGCCAACCAACTAACCCACTCACTCCAGGTTCTAGGCTGGTGTTTATGTATTTTAAAAATCAAAGAAAAAAATCTTATGACTAATGGAGTTTCTAATGACCCCCAACACCCTGTATACATATTTTTCTGAAAACTGGAGGGATAGATATTTTTGCAAGGTTAGCTTTTATTCAATTTATTGCAAGACTGTATACTCATGTTCTGAGAATATACTCATTGGCATCACTCATCTTTATGAAGGTGATTTAAGGTGGTTCTAAGGGGATTTAACTTATTTCAGGTGTCTGATTTGTATTTCTGATGAAAGATTTAAAGCCAAGTGTTAGAGATATTCATACTCATAGTTTGGGTTTTCATAACGCTTGGTGGGCTTATTCTACCCAGAATAGTAAGTGGTGACAATAATATTAATAAGACAATTAAGGTACATGTAAGCAAATTTCTTAAATTTACAAATTGGTATCATTAGTATTTCATATCATTGATAGTAGAGAATGTTTCAGAGTTGCTAAGTGAATAATTTGAATGTAAAATTGGCAGAAAGTTGGACACAATGTAATAAAAGATGAATCCACTGAAATAAAGATAATCCTTTTCTTATTAGGTACCTGAAATCAGTATGTGTGTGATGTTTGAATGGAAAATCCGTATCAAATGAAATTTATTTACTTGATAACTATTTAATGAGTAGCTGCAATGTGCCAAATACTGTACTTTTTGTTGAGAATACAGTAGCTAACACAAAGCCAGATCTTGTGTGTTTAATACAATCTAGATATGAAAGTTAATTCATTTTATTCAACAAATATTTATGAGGTTTCTGCTATTATTCAGTAGTATCCAGTATTATCCAGGTATTATTCTGGGCACTGAAGTGGGGAACAAACAGATGAGCTCATTAACATCTTGGAGCTTACGTTGTAGTTGTGGGGAAGATTTAGAGACTGCCTTTCAGTGTAAGAAGTGCTAAAGTAGAGCAAATATAGAGAGCCGTGGGAACACATAGAAAAGTCTCCAGACTTACTCTGACGGTAGGCAAGTTTGAGGAATACCATTTTTTAAAGAAAATTCTTGAATGAGAGACATTTGAGCGGATTCCTAAAGTATTGATATGCATACAACAGGTGTCAGAGGAGACTGAGCCACGAAGGGATAAACTGTGGGTTGGAAACAGAAGGAACTGCATGGGTTTGGACTTGGAGGCAGAAGGCAGCTTGATGGTATTTAGGAAGTAGAAAAAGTCAAATACAGCCAGGCAGTGGAGTGAGGAGAATAGCCATAGCTGAGCAGAAAGGCTGGTAGGGCCTGTGGTAGAGTTGGGATTTAATCTAACATCAAAGGAAACCAGGAATATGTTTTAAGTGGAGAAATCATTTGATAAAATTTGCCTATTCACAGAATGCCAGAAACTCAGCATGCCTCTGGTATGGGCCAGCTAAAGCTGTCTTCAATAAAGTTGCTTAGCCTATGCCTACTAAGATCAGAGCAACTCTTTAATCTTCTCTTGGGCTATTTGGCCCAGATGTGGCTAAGGACATTCATTCTTTTTTTTTTTTTTTTGGTACTGGGGATCAAACTCGGGTCTTTGCACTTGCGCACCAGGCAGCGAAACCACTGAGCTAAATCCCCGGCCTAGGGCATTCATTCTTCAGTCCACCTTTGCAGTCACACATCCATGCTTCCTTTTGTTTGTCATGGTGTTAAGTATCTACCAGGCATTCTGTATAGGAAATGAAAGATCATGGAAAATATCATTCTGATCTGTATATTGGTGTTTATTCAATACTACATACTTGTCTGATATTTTACTATTTTATCTGGTTTTTAAGCTTTAAAAATCTTTTATTGTCTGATGTTTTTAGCTTTCTAGTTGAATTTATGGATGAAGCACCTTATTAGGATTTACAGACATTTTTTTCAATTTATCTACACAAACGTTTTGAGTGGTTTTATTTCAATTCTACAGATGATGAGTGGGACGGAGTTTAAGTAACATGCCTACATTCACGGATAATGAGGGCACAGCTTGAATTTGAAATCCACATTTTTCTACTCTTTATCAGTGTGACATCACTTTTGTCTGTTCAGTTCTTTAATTAAATTTTAGCTGGAGCATTAGAATTTTTCACAGTGCATGCTTCAATGAAGGGAATTTTCAGTAGTTACATGGTACTGCAGTCCCAAAGAATTTTAGTAATAAAATTATACAGTGACAGGATTTTATGGGCTTGGAAGTTCAAAGATGAAATTTTCTTAGGGATCAGAAACTTTTCCAGTGAGATGTTTCCTTTTTTTTTTTAAGAAAAGCACATTTTATTTTTTACAAAAAGGAAAATTGCTTATGTATGGACAAATGTAAATGAACACCCAGAAATTTCTCACTGAATTTTTGATACATGTTTTAAAGATAACATTGTATATAATTATACAAGTATCCCCTAATCTTTTAGTATAAAATTTCAAATATAGAAACATTTAAGGAATAATCCTGTAAATACACATAGCTTTAATAATTGTTATGAATCCATTGTACTAGCTTTGGTATTGATTCACAGTAATTTTCTTTTTTTCACAGTAATTTTAAATATACTTATATGTTTACAAATTATGTACTGTTTTTTAAATACAGTTAACATGGGAATATTTACAGCTCTTAAGAACATCAAAGAATGAGAATTTGATGATCTACAGTGTTTGTCTCCTTTTGGTTTATTACTGTTTATTAGTTGTACCAACAACTACTCCAGTTATTTTGTTTATCAAATACGATTCTTACAGATATAAAATTGGAGTCTCATATTTTTTGTGTGATTCTTACATGTATACATGTATTTAAAATAGGATTTCTTCTGTTAAAAGAGATGCAAAAAATTATAAGAAGTTTATTGACAATGAAAACAATTATGTTGTCTTAAACAGCTCTGATTTTGTAGGAAAGAAAGAAATCATGTAGCAATTTTCTTGTAACAATGTCCTAATTAGTAAATAATTCAGTTTTGTACCAATGAACTCCAATTCTTATTGTTTAGTCTTGATTTGAATTATGGATCAAAAGACATAAGATACACATTTCTAAGAGACTTTTGCAAAAGTAAATAAAAGAATAACTAAAGATAGCACAAAATTAAACTTGATGTAGGCTATATTATATAAATATAGGCTAACTGCACATTGGTATGGGTGGATTCTTCAATTGTATATAAGGTCTGTTCTTTTCTGTCATAATTTCTCCATTATTACTTTCTTTGCTTTTTACTAAATTGATTTTATATCTCATAATTAAAAATATTGAAAAAATTTTAGTGCTTTATATACATGCAGAAAAACACACAAATTGTATGTGTATGTGGAATACCTCCTTGTCATGTGCTTCCTCTCAAGTGATTACCTCCTTCTTTCCAATACCAGAGATTAGTTTTGCTTGTTTTTGAATTTTATAGAAATTGAAGTAAATGTTATTTATGTGGGTGTGTTTGTGTGTTGTCCATGATGTTGAGGATAATTGTACTTCATTAATTTTTGTTTGTTTGTTTTTGTTTTTTGGTACTGGGAAATCGAACTTGGGACCTTGTGCTTGCGAGGCAGGCACCGGAACCACTGAGCTAAATCCCCGGCCCTGTACTTCATTAATTTTTATCGCTATATGTAGTCTAGCAAGTGAATGTACCATAGTTTACCTGTCTTTTCTACTGTTAGTGGACATTGTATTGTTACCATTTTTTGACTATTACACATAATGCCACCATGAACATTCTTCTATATGTCTTTTAGGGGAAAAATGCACACATTTTTGTTGGGTATTTGCTTAGAATGGAATTATTGGATCAGAGAATGTACATATGTCTTTAATGGATAATGACAAACAGCTTTCCAAAGTACTTACATGAATTTGTACTCCCATTAGCAGAATGTAAGAGTTCTTTTTTGCCTTATATTCCACATTATGGGCCATACTCTGTTTTGTTAGCTTTTAAAACTTTAGATATTTTCGAGTATGTGTAGAAATACCTTATTGTAATTATAATTTCTCTTTCCTCTATTACGAATGAAATTGAAAATTTTTCATATTTATTAGTCATTTGGATACACTTTTTATATAATCTTTGTCAGCTGTGTTTGTTACAAGTGCTTTTTAATTTTTAATTCTCAATGATGTCTTCCATTAATTGAAATTTTTCTTTTAATATAACCAAATTAACAATCTTTTTCTTTATTTTTAGTCCTGTTTATATTCTAAGAAAATATTTCCCTACCCCAAAACTATGATGATAATTTTTGTTATATTCTGTAATCTTTGCCTTTTACCTTTTAGTTGTATCTGGCATAAATTTTTCTGTATGACATGAAGTAATA